TCAGGTTGAACTATCACGAGCAGTCAGTCGCCTGGAGGACGAGACAAAGGTGGGAGCTTACCCTCGCAAGATAAACGTCACATTCGAATCTCATGAGCGCTTATCAAAGAGGAGGGGGGGTTGTAGTCAGCTTCTGAAATTTTTGACCTCGATTCACCAGATCAGTGTAGCAGGTGACACTTGCGTTACTTCAGGCCTAGGGAGAGTCATACATGCTTGAACAGTGATACCGTCTTAACCGTTGTCTATGTCGTTGAGTTGTTAGTGCATACTCTTAGTCTCGTTATAGTGCGACTCCTTCACTATCTGATAGATTTTTCCATGGCCGCAGCTACTCGCCACAACGGAGGTCGAAAAAAGGGCTTCAGCGGCGCACGTTGGGTTAATTGGCGGTGAGTTTCGAGAGGGTTCGAAGTTCCAAAGCGACAACGATGAGAAACGCCAGTGTTTTTTTTATTTTCTATCCTCGGCCATTCGCACTGGTGTACATAACTGTATGAGGCGCAAATAGTTTGAAATTGTGCAGTAGCGAGCGATAATGACTATGGTAATCTCCACATGCTGAGTGCACTGGTCGAAACTGTCAGACGCAGTGTTGGGAAATTTGATTGTCTTCCTTGGCTGATCTCAAGAGTTTCCTCACTAATTATAACAGTTTATATGCGAATTCGGGTAGAAATTTTCAGAAACCAACAAGAATTTCCCATATGGTCATGTGCACACTTTCCCACACTGGTCAGAGGTAAACGGGATATGTACCTCTGCTTGATCATGTAGGGTATATGCTGCTATGATGGTCCTCGCCGCTGGTATTATATTGGGGTCATGGTGGGCCAACCTGCGGGAGAATGCGGTGGAGTCGGATGCGCGGAACCCCCCGAATCCTGATGAGGTCTCGCGTGAGGAAATATTGCGGTGGACCAATGGTGAGAAACATCTGCTTCTGCTTGAGTGGCCGCTGTAGCTCATCGTGCGACATGTCCATGTGAAGCGCTACGCTAGCGCTCGGTCAGCACTGAATTGCATCGAAAACTGGTGTCAACTATACAGTTTGGCAACGTACCATATATACTTTACGCAATTTCACTATATATTGGCCTCTGACGATTCCTATGATCTGTTGAAATCGTGTTTGTGCAGCAACTGCGCGTCGGATCGCTGATGATTTTACTCGTGGCCCTCTCCAGTCGTCTAGGGTAAGTCCGCTCCTAGCCTTGATGAATAGGTCTTGTCGCAGGCGTTGCTGAGAACGCTGCAATCTGATACGTTTGGTGGGTATGTTGGCGCGAGGGTGAGATCATTGCCGAGCCTTGGTGGGAACGAGCGAGGCTTATTTGCTCGGAAAACTTTCGCGGAAGGCCATGTTGTGATGCGGATACCAAGGACAGCGTGGTACTCGCAAGACGGTAAGCTCAACGAACATTACTGTTGTGAAAGCTTCCGTTGGTTTCAGATATTCCCACTGCGCTCGCTTCTATGATCGGCACGTCGCGACTGCAAAAAGTAAGTGTTGATGGAAAGCCCCCGTTGTGAAGCAACTGTCGTCCCCAGGTTGCGCCTGAAGTACAGCGGATCGGCTTGGGACTTGGCCTGTTGTACGAGGTCACCTCGCTGTCCTCTAATGAGACGAAAGGTCGG